GAGGAATAGGCAGCATGTACGAGAGTTTGTTTCACCGCATCGCCCGGACGATTCTCCACCCATGTCGTCAGCGAACCCGTCTTTCAGCCGTCATGAGGTGGACCTTGAGCGAGCGTCAGCACAGGCGGCTCCTCGGATCGGTCAGCCTTCAGTGCCAGAACCAGATAGAACCGGAACTGGACAGTCTGCTCGGATTGGTCAGTCTACAGTGCCAGGTGCTGTTTCGGCATGTCTACCGTCTGTGGATCTGCCTCCGGGCTCGCCATGCCACAACATGCCACTCTCTCAACCTTCATCTGCACGTGAAAGCCAGCCTGCTTCGAAGGAACACACTCCAGCTGCTTCCGGCAAGCGCTCATTCGTCGATGGTTCAGTCACTCGCTCCGGACGGCATATCAAATTTACTGAGAAGGCACGGCTCTACGCAGACAGTTTATCCTAAAAGATTATTGCAACAATGCATCATACTCACTCTGAAAGTTCAACTTGACATCTTTTTGTGTTTTTTGAAGTTGAGTTCCTATCTTCCTCCATTGGGTGCTTTGAGATTCAAAACTTCATATTGTGTTCTCTCTTCTTCTTCTTTTTTTTAATTCCTTCTATTGCTTTCCCCGGCACCGGCTTTTTGTTTGGGAGAAGGAGTGATGTAGTGATAGTGACTGCGTTGTTCTTACACCACCTAGCTGTCATATGTTGCATTCTACACATCACTGCATGTGTCGTACTCACACCTTCATGATGTGCTACATTCACACTGCTGTATGTTATAGTCTCTTGTCATTCCAGTAATCATTACATTCTGGCCAGCTCACTACACAGTACCTTGTGAAATGGAGAGACTTTATCCTTTACAAACTTGGGAGTATGAAGAAGATATCAGTGACGATCTCTCAGGTGATTTCATTTCAATTTGGGTGAATTTATTGAATGTATCAAGTTCTTGCATGAATTTGAAAATCTCCCTTTTGTTTGCTGTAGATCGTTTGATGGTTCGGGGAATGTTGGGCCCTTTCTCAGATGACGAATGTTTGAGGCTGCTGATGGAGCTTGCACTGCTGTGCAGTGAAAAAATAGAAGTGAAATAGTCTATTTCTGACTTTCGAATCAGAAACTGGACAAAGGGGGTTGGGACCGAAGAATTTCCCTGTGAAGTTCTTTCCTCCAGGTTGGGATGCTTTCATGAACGTACATGGACAAGGCCCACGGGCTCACTACCTGGTTACCATCAAGCCTATGATTCGCCGTAGTCCATGTACGTTCCTGCAGGACTCCTCTGGATCTATGGCAGGAGGGGATCGTGCAGCCCGGCAGTTTGTCTCTTCCACAGAAAAGGGCATTGATTAATCATGAGCTTACCGCAGAGCACAACGAAAGCATTGTAGCATGAAACTAATTTGTCTGAATACAAATTTGCACAATGGCACAGACGGTTAATGGAGGTAAAGCATGGCATCACCAGCATTGTATTCCTGGAAGCAGTGCAAGTTATAGATTTAGGTATCAATATTTATCTAAGCTTTAGCGAAGTCCGGACACAGTACATTACTAGTGTGAAAGATAGAAGAAAAAGCAATGATATCTGTATATACCCGGAAAGAGAGGTGAGAGTGGGTGGGAGTAAGTGAAAGCACTTGTACAAGCTAAACATCCGTGCAACCGGAAAGAGCAGAGAAAAGGCTAAAGCAATTACACAGGCCATGTGTACGAGGTAATTTAGCAGTGAGACCCAAACATTCTTGTAAACCAGAATGCAGCTTCAGCACACACTTTCTATTTCTGCATGTTGCGCTGCTGTTCCCGTTTCCCAACGATATGATGAGGCTCTACGTTATGCTTCTGCTGGTTTTCCTGTGCAGGTATGTGCTGCCGTAGCTCAGAGAAATCTTTGGCCAGGGTAGCCAAGATGGCATCACCCACATCCTCCTCTCCTTCAGGTTCACTTGTAGGTTTGGCATTCATGCTTGACATCTCTTTCAGAACTGTGTAGGTCTTCTCAGTCAATTTGTTTTTGTCTGCCCATACCATTTGCACTGCTCAGTGATGTCGGCGACAGTCGCCTCCAGCTCACCATTTTCCATTTTTTCTTTACTTTTTGGCTACGCTGTGTGTCCTTGAGGTAGCATTTGAGGCTGACCAGTTCTTCTTCTACCTTTGTTTTGAAGACATTCTTGTCTAGTGTTCAGTGATCGAACCCAGTCAATGTTGAAGCACCCTTGTTATTTCTTTCCGTTTCTTTTTATTCTTGTACGCCGCTGCCTGCAACCGTGCATTTTAATAGGTTTGCGAGAATCTCTTTTCACCTGCTGCAACCAGAGTTTGAAAGTACCGACACAAACTGGAAGCATGCCCAGTTTTCAGACAACTAGCTGCTTCAAAAATTCTTATGTCAGATGAGTGACTGGTTACGCAGCCGACATTACCGTAAAAGTCCGTAAATAAGTACCTGCCCGAAAGGAATACCCCCTTCATTCTTTTGGCTCTGTCTGGTGAAGTCAAGTCAAGCTCGATAAACATACTGCCCGAAATAAGTACCGGTACGGTGCGCACATGCAGCACGTAGCATGCACATCGACATGAAAATGACTTCTCCACTACACACAAGTCAGGTCCGAAAGTTAGTTCATGCCCGAAAGTCAGTACCCGCCCGAAAGTTAGTACGGGTGTGGTCACTAAATTCAAAAGTAAATACGTACTTATTTACGGACTTTTACGGTATGGTGACATAATGTGTCCTTGTAGTTCTGTTTATTATTACTTGTATATTTCACTGTTTGCGTCAAACTCGGCTAAAGGCCGAGTTTTCCGCAACCGTAGGAACGCCACCACCCTTCAAGGATCGTGTGTTTATTATAACAGTGTATTTTGTTATTTGTTTTGACCATCAGTCCTTGGCTGATGCTGGTCATACCTTCAACATGTTGACGCGTTTTTCAAGGCATTCAATATACGTAGGCCGCAAGATTCTATCTTTTCATAACGAATACCGATGGCTAGTGCTTCCCCACTAGCTGCGCAAGTGTCTCATCTGGCTGCGGCCAACTACCCTTTAATTTGTGTGTTGTCGCTATTGCTGTCTATGTCTCTGTGTGTGCCAGTATATGAGGAACGAGAATTGGTGTTATTGTTGTTGTTGTAATCGTTGTTGTTGTTGTTGTTGTTGTTGTTGTTGTTGTTGTTGTTGTTGTTGTTGTTGTTGTTGTTGTTGTTGTTGTTGTTGTTGTTGTTGTTGTTGTTGTTGTTGTTGTTGTTGTTGTTGTTGTTGTTGTTGTTGTTGTTGTTGTTGTTGTTGTTGTTGTTGTTGTTGTTGTTGTTGTTGTTGTTGTTGTTGTTGTTGTTGTTGTTGTTCTGGTTGTCATGGGCTGTGGCTGTTGAATGTAGGCTGTCGCGTTTGTTGTTGTACTTTTATTTAAAGCTGCATCACAAACAGGTAACCACCTTGATGATGGTGCACAATATCTGTTGAAGAAGCCGCAAAAACACTGTATTCTCAAACCAGTGAGCTGCAGAATGAAACCAAGTATCAAGCTGGCAAAGCTGTCAGCCACTCTAAACGCTGTCCTCAAACCATACCACCTAGAAATTTACACAAAACAAGTTGCTATTTGTCAACAGGCAGTCATAAAATTCGACTCCCTGACTCAGTCACTCTACACCACAGAGTACTAGAGTAGTGTAGTCACTGAGTAGCTACGTTCTTGTACATGACAGCATGCATCGTGTCATGTCAGTACATGGACATGGCATGCATCCAGCACATGGCCATGGGAAAGCCCCTACAAAATGGCCTTCAGAGAAAGCCACGCGGTTGGAGAGGTAGTTTACACGAAAAACTGAGAAAGAAGTGCTTTTCATCTTCTTGCTGTTCAATGTCAAGCCAGAAAGAATTGAGAAGATGTTTGAAATGTGCAGAATGAGGCGATTTCCTAGATCTTTGAAGCTAGAAAGCGCACTGGACCTGCAATCTTTTGGAACTGGTCCTTCTTGAGGACAGAGATCAGACTAGCCAGATGACAATGCTGTGGTTTGTTGGCTGACAATACTTGGAGGAAGCTTCAGAAATGACCATGAAGAAGGTCAATTCTTGCTATTTCCTCAAGATAACCAAGGTAACAGATACTTTTCAGTGGAGAAGAAAATCATGATTCTTAGGAGTTGAGATCGCATCGGTTGTTCAATGTTTTTCACTTTCGTTTTTTTCGTTGTGTAACTGTTTGTCTTGTTGGCGTGGTTCACTGGTTTGATGCCTTACATTTCGATTATGGCCATAGTTCAGAGCAATTTTCTTCCTTCCAAGATCAATCTCTGCAGTAAATGCGCAAATATTGTACGGAATTTCGGACTCTGTGGGATGTCATATAATTGCTGGTAATGGCCCGGCGGCAAGTCCTCTGAATCTCTCTTTCGCTTTCCAGAAGACATTCTAAAAGACTATCTTCATTCCTGGTCAGTGAAAGAGTGAAAATAAAAAGATGACATCTTCCTCTCAAGAGCGAACAACTGCACTGCAGTTCAACCCATCGATTCAGGTGCGAAGTCGACACCATGTACCAAAGGTCGAAAGTGTGAATTGACTGTAGCAACCGCGACCGCGTTGCTACAGGCGGATCAAGTAAATATGGTGAAGTCTACGCCTGAGGCTACGGTGTAGACGTGTTAGTTGTACGATATGCAAGTCGCAGTTGGCACGAAGCGGCCGAAGAAAGCCCAACTCTGCATAAAAAGGTCGAAAGGTCGCTGCTCTTTTTTTCCTTTTTTGACCGGATACTATGTCCGGTGAAATTGAAAACGTCCGGTCAGTGGCCGAAAATGGCCGGAAAATGTCCGATGTCCGGCCGTTAATCTATGCCCTGACATGCACTCGGAAAAGGGGAATTCCCACCTTCATGCCCCCCCCCCCCCAAACCCTCACATTAGTCATTGTAGATACAAAGTCCGCAATGGGAGAAGAGTTAAAGACCGTATCCCAACATAGAAAGTAATGGAATTTCAATGCGACTAACCAGAACACAGTTGGTGATGGGTTGCCATTATACCAGCATATCAGCTCCTGGATCAAGTGACTGCTGGACTGCCTCTGGCTTGAGAGCACTATTGTCTCCGATCCACTATCATACAGTGATAGATGCTTGGTCTCTGCCGTGATAACACATGGGAACAACATAATCATGGCCAGCAATCAAGGACATCTGAGAGTTGTAATTTTTGTACTCCTCCGAGGTGTGATTTTTGGCGTGCTGGGCCAAGCACAAGGAAGCCATCTGCAAAAAAACTGCAGAAAATGGTTGTTGTTTGATCCTTTGGTGTAATCTTTGTTTCTAGTCGAAGCTAGTTGCTGTTTGGAGCAGAAACGCTGAAATTGACTATTTTCTGCATGTACTCATACATGTACTCATGTACTCAGGCATGCAGTCTCACTCGTATTTTAGCTATTTTTCTGGAATGGATGCTGCTCTGCGCCCCTTGGTGAACATTTCCTGCGCTCGTGGAGCAGCTGAAAAGGACCACTGGTATGTCTGGTTCCTGGTTTGAAAGTAGAGTCGACTTTTGTGCCTTGAAAAAGGAGTAGAGAGCGATAAAGGTACGTCTGTGGCTGATTTTTGAGTGCTCCTCGTACATTTTTGATCGTGATAGAAATTCTCAGACCAAAGTCAGACCAAAGTCAGCGCGATGATGGTCGTACAGTTTTCTTGTGAATTTTTTAGTTGTTTCATCTCGTATCTATGTCAGTATCGTGATGGTGAAGTGGAGAGGGTGATTTTCTTCCTCTAGGCTTCGTTCGGCCGACTTTGCTTCGTCCTCGTTGAAAAGTGATCCTGAAAAAAAGGTCGATTCGCAAAATTATGTTGACTTTCAATGTACGAGATGACATGCGATTGCTGGCTATGAAGTATCACGCCACAGGGGCAACCAAGGTATGTGACCATCAGGCTAATATTGAGTGGATTGCATTACTGGCCCATATTTCATGAAAATACGGTACAAGAGCCTTGCGAGAAATCTGTCATGCGGTGACAATCTATTCAGTCTGAAGTTTCACTCACCAAGGCTTGCATCATGGACACACTCTAGGCCCTGTAGCCAGGAGGTTCAGAGGATGCGGACGAACCCCCTTTCTCCGCCGACAGCCTTGAGCAAAAACCACTTTCTTAGACAGTCATGTACATGTCTGGGCATGTTATATTATATGCCTGCATGTGATTTATCGGGTGAATGTGTTGAACCCTCTTTTGACTGCATGGCTACGTGCCTGCACTCCAGATCAGCCTAGATGTTACGATATGACTGATCCCTGCGAGAGCTCTAAGAGGCGCGCACGCACACACACACACACACACACACACACACACACACACACACACACACACGCTTATCACTACTGGCACACCACCATGCAGTGCGGCCGCTGAGAAGAGCAACACACAAATCGGTGTGTCTGTGTGTGTGTGTGGGGGGGGGGGGGGGCACATCCAATATCATCCACAAAACTCCTACCAGGGAAAAGAAAATACTGTATAGATCATCACTCGTTGGCTCCAATGCCGGCAATCACTGGGTTGGTTCTTGCCTCGAACAGAAAAGAGCCAAGACACCGAACGAAGGAAAACTTACTGGCATCGACTGCAACTCTGAATTCCATGTAGCTGCTGTGGTGTGCGCCGGGTGTAGCTGACGGATACTGGCATCGATAGACACCGCTCGCTGCCTGCGTGACACGCGTGATCACCAGCACGATGCCGCCATAGACTGCAATCCGACGCGAACCATTGCAGTGACACCGCCCGTTGAGCGTTTCACAGAGTAGATTGTTGTTGCCGTCATACCAGTTGACGTGGCAAGGTCCGCTTTCTGGCGGCAGGCTAGACAAATCGTAGCCATACTCGATCAGATAGTTCTTGCAGAATAGGGACGCTCGGTCCCAGAGCTTGACGGTGTTGACGGATTGGTTGCCGTTGGTGACGACGCTTATACTGGGAGCGGATGTTGACGCATCAGCATAGCACCACAGCAATGCCGTGCACAGTGTGAACGGGATAAGATGAAGTCTTGCCGGCCGGTTGCCAACCTCAGCTATGCGTGATAAGCCTGCAGTCACAAAAGAACAGGGGCATGAAATCGTGAGCTATCAGGGGATGATGTGCTGGCATGGCCTCCTGAGACAATCAAGGAGTTCAATGCCCCCCCACTCCTAGCTGAATTGATGCGGTCAAACTCCTAGCCAAATCGCACGTAGACACACGTCAATGCGCATACATTGGGCAATAATGATGCAAAACTGAGATATGCCCCAAGGGTTGCTCTGTCAGAAACCCAAATTTCCAAACCACTATTCATCAAAACATTCTGCCAGAGAGTTCTTGAACCAATCAAGGACACTTCCACAAGTACCATAGTCCACACAAGGCATAGAACCTCGAACTTTGACCCATGCAGAGTGATTCCACAAATTCCATCACACTCCACAGTAATCGTGAAGAACATTTCAACGGAAGTAATTGGGTAGTTTCTCCGACACGTGCTACAGTGTTGCAAGGTTGCTTGTTGGAGAAACAACGTTGTATTTGTAAATACAGCAAGTAGCCAACATGACATGGAGGAGTGAAGCCTAGTGGTGTGGATACTGGACAGGATGGGATGGTGCATGGCATTCAGGATCACTTGAACAGCAGCACTATTCCTGACACACTTGCTGGTTAGGTCACACGTGCAGGCCTGTGACCACTTCCGCCGGTGCTGCTCTGATTGAAAGGATGATGATTCATGAACTCACGTCAGCATTGCATGTAGCACTGTATCACTGTACAGCACTGCACTGTGCCAGTGTGGGCACTGTGGGCAGTGTGACACTGTACATGTACATGCATCAATGTACATGTGAGGGATACACTTGCCAAGCCTGCTGCTGATCTACTTTAGAAGTACATCACGTACTAATGAACCACTGTATCCACTATTACGCAACATTCTTTTCACTCCCTCTGCACTCACACACTCTCACACTGGCACTCAGCTAAGGCAAGAGTAGAAAGTACAATTCATTACAAAGCCAGCACTCCTCCACTGGTTCACACACTGCTCCCTGAATTGTGTTACCAGGCCTAATGTTAATACGATTTGGCCAAGTGCTTTGCAAGGGTACTGATTCACATTCCAAGCACTTGCCCACTGTTTTACCCACTGTCCCAGTACAACTTTGATGATCACCATTTCAAGTAGCAGACTGGCTGCCAGGTGGTCTTATTGTGCTTGCTTGGATCAAATCATCCACTTGCTCCAGCAGCCCTCAGTTCTCCAGGGGAAAACAGATTTCTGGGCCTAATCATCATTGTTGCCACAAGACTGCATGCTCCCATTAAAAATCTAGAAGAAACAAGAATGCTTGTACATGTAGATGTACATGTAAATTCCTATTCAGCTGATGTACATATTAAGCTACCCATGATAGAGGAAATTGAGTTACAGTCATTGCACGAGATAGTAGCATACACAAAACCTACTTCACTTGTTTGTGCAGTGGAGAAGTGCATGCTACATCACCACAATGACGCCAACAACAGCAAGGCTGATCAACGCTACATGAGGAATCATTTTAGTGGCGCAACAAGAACACCTGCGACCAATCACTGTAAATCCGAGTTGCTTAGCTTAGCCATGCAAAGATAACTCCTTCTGTTTAATGCCCTGAACTCCATGTGCACCATCATCAAACCCACGGTGGATATGAGGTAGCAATGGCACTGTGTGCTCTGCTCTGCATGATCCACAATGTTACTGATGGTCTTGGTGATTCATAGCCGTGAACAAGCTAGTGTGACAGGACTAAATGAAAGGTACCAATTAACTTAATGCCACTTCAGCAAAACTAGGGCGGCATCAATTTGCGCTCCTTATAGTGAAGTAGGAACATGGAGAATACTCAGAATACACCGTGACTCCTCATAAACAACAGCAACACAAACACATACATATACTACTACCCTGCTTTAGCAACAACATGGACTGTATAATACACACAACAACATGGACAGCTTGCTGTCTACAGCATTGGGTATCACGCTCCTCGGCTTTCGCCTTGTTGAGCACACTCAGTAGGCTGCTCTAGTGCTGCTGCATCGCGCAATGCCCGCTACATTTTGTAGTTTGAGCACTCTGGCGCTAGAGCGACGAGCTACCTTAATGTCTGTGGTGCCTCCTTTGCACCATGGCTGGTAGCTCGGCCTATTTAGCTCGTAGCTGTACTGATGAGGCCTTTATGGCCGAAACAGCTTGCTGTCTACAGCATTGGACTGTATAATTATCATAATAGCGTCCATCATCCAGCCTACGCAATTTGGATCAACTAACAGTGTTACTTCTGACTGATGATTGTGGGACTATGCAGCTGTGCTGATGTTCATAGCATTTTCACTTCCCTTGAGCCCTGAAAGCCACATGTATTATACATTGTCCTTGTTTCCTGTCACCTATCAATGTTTAGTCTCGATCAGAGTAGTACAAGGCATGCTTTGCACCAACCCATTGCTGAAAGCTGAGGTATTTCTCGTTCATGCCATTTCTAACTAATGTTATTCCCACGCTGCCGAGATCGGGTTGCTGTTAGCTGGAGTACGCAAGGTGCATGTATGCTCTAACTACCTGTTTGAACATTGGCTGCGACTGGGACTCTGAGTCTGGGAGTGGGGAATACTGAATGCTGAAGAAATGCCACAGATAATCTGTGTATGGCCTCCCAAAAAGGGGCTCAGGCCAAAAAGCAAATGTTGAAGTTCATGCTACGGTTTTTTTATAATAATATCCATCCAGACTCTTTTGACATGTGTCTGTATCTCGCCTCATGTTCCGTCAAGCCAGATCACGACGTCATCTAGAAGCTGTGGATTCCGCCACACCTATGACCCCACCAACGGCCCATGGACTAGTAGTATCAGTCATAAGCAGTCAGTTCTGCAGGGTCTACGGTAGACTACCGCTATGAGAACATATCCAGTAGCACATAAGGCGCTTGTCCTCCTGGAAAACTTTCCAGACTGTGGCCTGTTTGGAGTGTCTGTGGACAGGTGAGAAGAAGCAGACTTTCCCAAGCATAATTATCATCAAGCAAACTGTGCAGCCCGACTGCATGGCCCTCCCTTTTTTCTAGCCTCTCTTTCCTATTCACTCTGCCATCCATGCACTCGTCAATCAGCGCCAATGCGACACGCTCCGAAGCGTGGGACAAGGCCAATGACAGATCGACTAGAGTTTGACAAGGCACGTTACGCGCACTCCGGCGACAGGCATGATTGACTCTCCGGGGTGTCCTCTGCGGGAGGCTAGCAAAATGTCGCATGGTACGAGACAGGACGCCAATGAAAGAGAAGGGGATAAATCTTTGGAGAGCACGTCTGAAGCAAAAGAATTTCTCCCATCTCAGCGGTTTGTACTCCTCTTAGTCTTCTTACCTTGAGAAAATGGTTGCCTGAAGAACGTCCATTTCCTACAGCTTATTCCTGGTCTTCCACAGGTCTCCATAACGCCAGAGGCCTTGCAAGGCGCGTGTTGCTCCCCCTAGGGTGTTTTCCAACTTTCCTCCAAACCCCGAGGATATTGTGCTGTAGAGTCACGACAGCTCCACCACGGGCCTCCTTTTCAAGCGAAGCGCAGCAAGTGCTAGTAGATGCCAGTGCAAGTGCGCTATCTATCCGACCTAGAGTCTGGCCAGTACAGGCACAACTAACCAGCTACCTAACGGGTTAGCAACGTACAGCCAGAGTTTGAGCCTCGCTGGATTCACGCAGCACACGAAGTGAAGTGATCACCAAGCCCTGAGCTGCGGAACACCGACGCAGTCTGAAAGCGACGATGTGAGACTGAGATGCGTGAGGCGCGAGGCTTTCGCACGGATTGACCTTATTTCTCACTCTCTCGGCCTTGGTCTCGTCGTCTGCTATGAGCCCCCATCACAACAGATGGTGCATGTCACTGAGTCTGTAAGTGTAAACATGTGCATTGCACGCCACAGACTGTGCTAGCAAGAACAGCAGCGGCCAGTATTTCTCAGTTATCTAGCTCGGTGATGCATGGCACATCCGCTAGTCTGGCCATGCCACGGAGTCAGTGGAAGAGAAAGTGTCCAGAGAATCGCCCGGAGGCAGTGTTCATTGCCCTTTGTGTAGCGGTTAGACCCCCACTTCATTAGCTTTGGCATCGTACATGCAGGGGACGTGTACGACAATGAGTCAAATAACCAAGCTGCACTATGTTTCCAAGCTGATGGCATCGGCACCATCTACGGATTAAACTCCATGTGCCTAATGGAAATAGCAATGAAAGCAGCACAGCATGACTTAGCGTAGAAAATGGATGTGCCCTTGCCAACAAAACTCAGGTTTGTTGTTGGGAAAGAGCCCAGCTGTTGTCCGAACATCTAATCATGCTGTTTGCCGAAGTTGAGGTGACATGCTAGCGCTCTGCATGACGTGTTACTTGTGTTACAGTGAACTCTGTGCTCACATGGCCAATGCCCTCAAGGCAGAATCAAGGTCGAAACAAAGTTCTACACTGGCAAGGAATGCATGGGATGGAATGGAACGCTTCCCCAAAGGGTCAAAGGGTCGGCTACTGATATTGTCACCCATGATGTACTGTCGTATATGCAAACGTACATCTACGCATGGATAATATCCGAAATAGTCAACCAGATTACTGTAAATCAACTAATTTTCGCTGGCAATTTAATTTCGCTGATTTCACCGCTGGGTACCAACCGGCCAAAGTAAATCGCAGGCCAAAATTTGTCATAGAGGCAAATGATGCATTATTAAGCCATGCTTGCATGTGAGGGCAACAAATACCAATCGATTTCTTTTTTGAGAACCCCAATCGGCCGAAGTTAAATGACGCCAAAAGTTTCATTTCGAGATCGGCCAAAGTTTCTCACCGGCCAAAATTTGTTGATTTACAGTAATTTAAGTTAGTTGGGTTAGCTAACAGTAACTCCGGGTGCTGTCTGCTAAGGTAGCCCCATCAAACCACCATCTGGTCCATGACGGGCGAAAGTAGCAGATATCAGGCCAACTGGGCAGCCAACGGGCCTGCCGACACATGTACAGCACCAGATCACTTTACGTGAACTACGACATGACATTCAGTCACTGTAATGATGTCCCGGGTACTGGCGGCAGCATCTGCGTCACTTGAAAAACAGATTTCTCCATCTCCTGATAGGTACACCAGGGGTGTTAGGTTCTCAGCAGGATATCACTTATGCTAGTAAACATGTCTTGTCGATCCATCTTTCAGACTAGTGTCCAAACGCTTAAATCACACGTTAAGCTACATGACAAATTACTCCCTTGCTTCAATCCCCTCCTCCGCAGTCACCCAGTCACAAGTGCATCTACCAGCACATGCCACCAATTGCCAACACAACCCATAACTCTTGCTGAATGGGACATTGCCAGGCAGGCACAGTGGGTTGGTCAAAGACCATGATTGAGATACGAGAGGTACCTGGTTCAAGTCCTGCCTGGGAGCGGTTTTTCCAGCCGTGCTGCTACCCACAGTCAACTGGGAACTTGTGGCCAGGCACAAGGGGTACATGGATGCAGCTAATGGGGTCGTTCTCGGCACTTGTGCCAGTGGTTGTGAGACTTACCCACTCACCCCCACCGTTAGGCGCTGCATCTGCCGCTAGGGTTTACCGGGTGTTAGCGGCCGTCGTGAGTTCCCTTCGGGAACGGACACGATAATTTACTTTTTTTAAATGGGACATTCGTGTGGTCGAATCTAGATTCAGATTGACTGGCGGATGGATCGTGTGGATCCATCAGGATCACGCAATGCCGCCCTGGGTCGAATAGTGAATTATTATTTAGGCGACTTGAACAGTGTTGACCAGCGAAAGCGAATCCCGCAAGATCACTGCTTCCCAACACACCCACAGTGACACATACACAGTGACACATACACATACACATACACATACACACCCACACGCAGCGACAACTACACTTGTACACTGTTTGGGAGAAAGTAAACAATGTACCGGTATTAAAGTTGGTGGAAATCAACCCTGCTTCCCAAAGAAAGGCGGGCTGGCCGGATGCGGATACAGAGCCAATCACGGAGAAACTAACGTGTAGATCTACATGACAGTGTGTGTGTGTGTGTGTGTGTGTGTGTGTCTGGATCCATTGCCTGCACTGATGTTGACTTCTGCACATTACATCATAATTCTGACTCCATGCTGGACACGACTGGACAGTGGTGTCACCGGTAGACTCATTACCATACTAATGTCAAGCTGAGAAAACCGCACATTGCCTCAGGCATGACTCCCATTCTTCTTCCAAAACCCTGCCAAGAGCACAGGCCTAACACTACTGAGTTACGGCATAGAGAATCCAGCACTGAGCCAGTTGAAGGTGTTGCTTGCTTGCAGGATCCTAGGCTACCGACACACCAACGACATAGCGTTCTCATCCCTCAGACTGTACCGTGACCTGTAAACACAACTTAAAGAGCTTGGGAGGGGGGGGGGGGAGGGTGAGAGAGAGATGCTTATCAAGTGATGGTCATCAGGTGTCCATAACAATGGAGTGTGAATATGCCACTACTAGGGGACAATCATACAACACTAGATCTAGAGGGCATCATGCCCTCCCGGCTCCCCTGTCCACAACGTCACGGTTGTTGTTTTGTTGCATATCCCAACACCAGTACAATGTCATGCTGAAGTTGGACGAACTAATTACTGTAAAAAGCCATATAAATAACGAAGTGCTAATTCTAACGAGTTAACATAATTATACTGTTCTATTGAGCGTTGAGAATGTGTGAGAATGATCAATCGTTAGGGGCCGTCCGTAAATATCGATGTTTTTTTAGAGACGATATTGGTGCTTCTCTCCCTTGACCCCCCACCCTCCCCCCAGAAGACGCACATGTACATCTAGATCATGGAATCAATATTTTTGCACGGACTGCGCCATCACCATAACGTTCCACGAACGCATCAATGAACTCTTCGTATGAAGAGGGATTCGACTTTTTGTAAATTCCTGTATCGACTACACAACCCCCAAACAACGTCAACTGTTTCGTTTTCCGTTTCTTGGGCGGTGGTGAAGACGACATTTTCACAGCTAACCTGTCACTTTGCCATGGCCATGCGGTTCACAACTTTCTCAACTTCTCTCTCGACAAAGAACAAACTTCAGGCACGGCCAGTCAAAATTCACATTTTACATGAAAAGATGAGGGCGCTGGCGCGCTAGCGCTACCCGTGCAGTACAACTCATCGTACAAAAAGCGTTCAAAGTGCAACACATCGTGTACTGGTGTAGCCAAAGCGGCTACGCTCGGGCTTGAATTTTTTCAAATCCTTGTTCAGACAGTGAACACTGGAAACTCTTGTGGAGTTCGTCCGTGTTTGTTCGCACTGCCTCTACGTCTTGAAAAAGGTCTCAGGCATCGTTCGGCCGATTTCCACAATCAATACGACAATAGCTCATTCTTTTGCTCTTGAAATTCGCCATGGGCGCACAGCTTCCAATTTTTGATTTTGTTCTTGTGTCGCGAGTTTTAGCTCCGCGAACGGAAGCTGGTTTCACATTTCTTGTATAGCCATTTAGACGTCCGCGTGCAGGGATCGGCGAAACTTCAGATATTTACAACGATATTTTTCTGATGCTCGAAAAGACGCACATGGCTCAAACCCCCTCCCCCCCAGACGCACCAATATCGTCTCTAAAAAAACATCGATATTTACGGACGGCCCCTTACCTTTCGTGTAGCTACAGTCCATTCAGAAACGGTTGAGCGCTGGCTCTGGAGAGCACCCGTGTTTGGCGATTTTGTGGTACACTTAACTTGAAAAAGGGTGCAAAAAGGCACCTCAACTGGGGTTCGAACCGCAAATGTACTGATATGCAAGTGGAGTGCACGGCGCCGTGCACTCCACTTGCATATCAGTACATTTGCGGTTCGAACCCCAGTTGAGGTGCCTTTTTGCACCCTTTTTCAAGTTTCGAATCGCGCGGCACTGCACAGTGTACCACAAAATCGCCAAACACGGGAGCTCTCCAGAGCCAGCGCTCAACCTTTTCTGAATGGGTACGGCCTGGATTTCCATGGTTTTTGCCCAATTCAGTGCTTTGGGGGCAAAACCTGGCCGAAATCCTATACTATTCTTGTTATTAGTGCAATTAGGAGTGTAATCGATGCAGACATGGCCAGACAACAACGAGTTCATGGAATTTTTAAGGATTTTTATGTTATTCAAAATCGATTTTCGTGTTCCGCTCATCAGTGAATAGTATCGGAACTGAGGGTACTGTGTACAAAAATAGAACATTAATTTTTTTATAACAGCATAATTAATTAAAAGTGTGAAAAACAAAGGAAGTGCTACAGCATTACATAATAGGTGTCAAACATAGTGCTAACGTATATAACTGAGTGCAGCCACAAAGCAAGCTTTCTCCACGCCGACTCTTTAAATATTCTTGTTATGGCTTGCTTTTTGGAGAAATAGACTTCAAAAACACAATTGGAAGAGCATTCAATGGGGGATTGCCAAAAAAAAGGAGACGAAAACTCAAAATTTGACCCGCTTATGGCCAAAAGCTAGGATTATTAATTTTATTTATTTATTTCACCTTCCCGTGGCCAGAGAATATAGGCCAATATGGAGGGAGGGGGGGGGGGGGGGAGGAGGGGTAGCCAGCCATGGCAGGATATCAACCTTTTCTGAATGGACTGTAGGCCTCTTTTACGGGCCAACAAACAAACACGTGAACGAGTCATTTTCGGAAATCATTATATTATGCGCCTCATTAGAATAATGGCTTTTAGCCTTTTTACGGTACTTGAACCCATGCCACATCAATCAGCATGAAGAACGCAAGGGTACAGACAGGTACAGGCAGGTGTTGACAGTCGTCAAGTGGGAATCAGACAGTTCCCTGTTCACTGCAGCAACAGCTGGCTCGATATCATTAACATTCCAAGAAGACTCCATCAGGAACGAGTCAGGGAACTATGCAAATTGCTCATACTAGTAGTTGTAGTATCCCATGAGTGTGCAGGAGTCCAGTCCAGTACACAAGTAACATCAACCGAATACACACACACACACACACACACACACACACACACACACACACACACACACACACACACACACACACACACACACCACATGTATGCCAGAGTTACCATACATACCCTCACTGACTTCAAACTTTGAACACTGTCAGCATGCATGATCAGTGTTGATCGTAGATCTACATGTAGACTGGAAATTCAATGCCTACAACCCGCAGAATAGAAATACCAATCATACAAAAGAGTGGTTTCACATCTTTTTCATGTCAATACATGTCACAGTGATCATCCTGAGTGATGTGTGGAAAGTGATCATGGCATGGCAACAGTGGAACCAATATGGCTGACATTGTTTGTTTGTTTGTTTGTATTTATTTTGATTCGTAAATTCAAACGGGCATAGAACCCTATAACATCGTGTGACCAAGAGTTATGTCCTCTTGGTGTGACCCATAGATGCATGAGTTGAGTGGACCTGACTCCTTTGAACCAATAATAATTATTATGGCTGCCGAGTATGGTCATGTGATAGACGTGCAACGGCTCTCTACGTCAACAATGGGATACAAATGACCCGAAATGAGGCAAATACCGGTACATGTACCTGTAATTGTCCGAATACATGTACATAGTGTGCGATCCAAGAAAAGAACTTGTGGTCGACTCCCTGGCCTGCAATCAGCGTACTAGTATGCAAGAGTACATAAACCGGTTTTTGTACTCTTGGTGCATGTAATACTAATAGTACGCCAACTGGTACCACGATACTGAGTTACCTGGGAAAGTGCATGCGGAATTTCCCATAATTGGTAATTTGAAAATCAACAAACTGAAGCCTTGCCACAGGCATTGGCACCCAGCTGAGTTAGCTGGCTAACATCACACCCTTGCAGCTGCCATGTTCGAACTTTCATCTTGCCTAAGGGCAAGGTCAATTCAGAAAGAAGTAGAATCCTGAATGTTTCACACAAACTGAGGATCATCGGACGGTCACCGTTGTTGATTATCATAAATGTGCAAAGATTGCTAAGGACAAGTGAGAATCGCCCAAGTAAGTACTTACCTTGATTTCGGCCCCTGGCTTGGAAAGGTGAGAACGTCCAAAGGCATGTACACGTAGATGTAGATGTCATGATGTGTTCACTGCCTACAGTATGCGTATCGTGGTGTGACAATACAGCTGTATACCCACAGGGTCAGCCATCACTTTGATCAATCTCCATAGCCTAGCTGTAGGAAGTCATACCTCTTTCAAAGCACTGCAGTGCCGCAGCACACCCATCGCCGCCGTACCGTGATGTAAATCACACCACGCTCACAATGCTGATAAGCACCGAGGCATGTACAGTATTACACCAGACACAATAATTATTAGAGATTGAGTCTGAAACACGATCTGCCATAATGACTTACATCCGGTATTATGTCGATACCTTCACAAAGGCAAGAATACATCAGCTCGCTAGGAGCTGATGTATTCTTGATACTACTTGTAGTAATGGCAAAAAGTTATAATAATAAAAATAATACTCTTGGCAATGAGTAGATCCTAGTATAGGAGTTGAATTTTGGAAACTTACTTGTGGCCGGGCACAAGGGGCACAAGGGGCACTTTTTTTCTTTTTTTAAAGTACATGGACGCAGCTAGTGGGATTTTTGGATTTCGGCACTTGCGCCAGTGGTTGTGAGATGTATCCCTCACCCTCACTGGTAGGCGCCCTAGGCGCTGTATCTCGGCTGAAATTACCGGCCGCCGTGAGTTCCCTCTGGGAACGGACACAATCATTTACTTTTACTTTACTTTGGCAGCTAGGACCCTGAGCATGATATTATAGAGGTGAATCCTAACAACTAGAGGGTTCAGTACTTCAAAGCAGACACCATGCACGCCATAACATGCACCGCTGTACTGTACATGCAAAGAGGATGCGGAGAAAACCAGAAAACTACTACAGTACTAGGCTTGAGCTGGGTTGTACTTTACTGTAACCATGGTAACGCTGCACACGACACCGCTCTGCAACAATGTACACTGTAGATGCCAAGGTTCCAAATAGACGTGCCAGACTAATACATACGTTCACTAGACGTCATGGGTGTGGTTAGCATTTCAAGCATTGCTTTCCGCGGTGCCAAGAGTACTGTTATGCACTTCTGATGGTACATGACATACTCATACACAGTAAACCGATCGTTACATAGCATAAGCTAAGCATCGTTCGGACGTTATTCGGGGGGGGGGGGGGCTATAAACGATTCAGCAAGAAACATTCTGTAGTACATGCTATTAAAATGAGTCGCAAATTTAACGATTGTCCAAAATTCAAAGGTTAACGAGAAGATACGTTAACGATCTTGCAGACTTCATGCATATCTGCACATAACACATACGAGGCTTACGGCCTCAACAGAACTTATACGGTAATAACAAAGAAATGTCACTCATTAAAACGTTAGACGCGTACTTCCTCGTTAAATTGACCTGTCTGACAGTATTCCTTCTCCCCTGTACAGTGTACTAGAGCACAAAAGGACGGGTGTCTGGATGACAGGGGTCGTTAAACTGTGCCCGCTAAGTGAAAATGATGCAAATCGTTAAACTTTAGAGTTGTTACACTTTCAACACTTGCAGTAAAGCTACTTTCATGGCCTCAGCGCGTACATGCACATGCGCTGGTTCCTGGTGCTACGTGGCCCTTGTCTACTGATCACTGCATTTACTGGTAATGGCAATGCACCAAGTCTACCATCGAAAGTAGGCTCGATGCAGTGAAGTAGCCTTATACATGTGCTCGTAAGCTTGCTATCAGACTGTACCAAGGAAACCAACCCGCAGATGTGTACACCATTGAAACTCCAGCACAAGGAGCTGTTGTGAACTGGCGTAAGTCGCTGATGGGCAATAGCCGTATAATCACCTACCCTGGTGCTGCGCACAAAATAATTCCTTGTTCGGAGATAACTCCAGATCACACTGGACTTTGCGCACCTGAAGTTGTACAATACCTGTACACTCTTCTATAATAAAAAAAGTATTGTGTACAAGTATGTAGTGCAGTCTGCAATAGAATTGAAGTTGTACTTGCACACTCTTATAATTTTTTTTAAGAGAATTAACCTGACAAGCATCACGGCAAAGGTAGAAATCATGCAAGCATAGATGTCTCTCTGGAATGACGTAAGCAAGTAGGTTGCTCACTGCTCAAAGAGTACATGGCCCTATGCGTTGGTGATAGCGAGACAACAACCGTGAAGTTCAGAGTTGTAAGTTGTAACAGAGCTTCCGCTCTCCACACTGTGTCTCTGGAATGTACAACATGGGAGACCACTTACGAGTGATGGCAAGCAGGGGCGAAGCTCGCACATATGTGGTTACGTTACCCTGTACCACCGGCAACCAGTGAGTCGTAAAATACCGGTATTTTACGACTCCCTGCCGGCAACCTCATAGCCGCCATTTTTCTTATTTGACTATGCAGTACTCAAATAATCGAAAAGCTGACTGGATTGCTTTTCTAAATGAGGGTCATGTGCTGGTGAGGTGACCAGACTAGGTAGACTACACACGAGCTATGCGCCTGGCAAGAGTCCATAACTGCAAGAGTGTGAAACTGCCTATTCTCTCTCCTTGTGCCCAGTGCATGCCACGGTACGGTGGGCCTGGCAAAGCTTCACATCACATTGCTCAATAGGTTATGCTGGCAAACAGTGCAAAAAGACCATCAGAGAGTTGTACCTGAAAGCGTGGTGGAGTACACCCCTGCAGCCATCAGTATCATGTGCAGCGTGCGGGTAGTGTGCGGGGCTCTTGCAAACCCCATTGACTGGAGTTGCACACTCTTGGGGTATATGTGCCCTTTGTGATGGGGTTCTGATCAGGAACTGAACTAACCACACTGTATCCCCGTATCAATACGCACACCAAGAGGCTAGCTATACATGTATGTGTGCGGACTCTCAGAGCCATAACACAAAATCTCAGTCCAAAGGATATTTATATGAAACAATGAAGGCTCAATTGAAGAAGGGAGCGCGAGAGAGAGGAAGGAGAATGAGCACTCCTCCCTTGAGCATGGTCAGGGCAGCCAGCGCATGCTGCTAAAACTTGATCCACAACTCCTTTCAAGGATGATGAGACCAAATTGACTAGCTGCATTCGGAGCAGCAGGGTCTTCAGGCAGTGGAACCAGCAGAAGAATCCAGCACGACTGCCAAAATGATGAGCATGCACGTGTGTGTTTACATGAAATTGATTTTGCTGTTTCATGGAAATGTAGCGATGACAGACTAACATACAACGCCAATGATACTATACAAATACACTATGTACAGAACTTCTATGATACAGACTTGTTCCACCAACCAAGACATGGCAAACTTCTCAAGCGACGGCGGACGGCTATAGCTGTCCACACGAGTTAATGACGACTTTCTTTGATGGATGACCAGCTCGTGAGCCAACCGCCTAAAAGGAAGAAAAATGCACGTGGATACAGAGTAAACTTGAACACACACTGAAATAGAAACAACAACATGCATGATTTCATTCACTCGCATCATTGAGGCCAGTAATTAAGTTAAGACGACTGAGAGCTAGGACACTTACTATGTGACAACAACCTACATAAAAGCACTGCAAATGAGGTCCAGAACAATTGACTTCTACTAGACAAAACGTGGAAGTGTTTTGTTCTAAATCTTGTTGACATGTTGTCTACTTTGGAGCTTTTTTCGTCTACTTCAAAGGCAGTGCTGCTCAATGAAATCCAATCGAGTGAGTCAGCTTTGCGCCCTGCATCAGTGAATATCCCAGTGTTCGCAGGTCTAGGGCTGCACAGCGCCCGGCGTGGCATACTTGACTAACACAATCGGATTTCATTGACCAGTACAGTACTTCTCTGGTGCATGGTACACAGTTGAAAGGTGAGAATTTAGGAGGTGACCAAAAGATACACTAAAATGCATGGAAAGCAGGATAAACAGGCTTCGTGTATGCTTACCTCCATTTTCCTGACAACGTCTAACCCGTTTGTTACCTTGCCAAACACAACGTGTTTTCCATCCAACCTGAACAACGACGACGACAACAACAACAACAACAACAACAACAACAACAACAACAACAACAACAACAGCATTTCAAACAACAACAACAACAGCATTTCAAACAACAACAACAACCAAGAATGTGCACACAAATACTCGGTGTGACAATATACATTTCTAGGCTGACAATACATCAATAACATAAGCAAACACAGCAGGTTGCTATTTCGAGATACTAGGCCAAGACAAGCCCTACAACTCTGTGTGAATTACATAACCTGCACCAGACACTACGTGCCCGTTACACGGCAGTTGCTCAAGACTTACCAATCAGTCTTTTCCGTACAAATGAAAAACTGAGAGCCGTTGGAGTTGGGACCCGAGTTTGCCATAGATAGAGTACCTTCAAGACAAAGAAGACCGAAAAGCAACATTTCTACATTTCCACACTTTCCCAAGAGAGGTGTCACTGCAGTTACATATAGTCGTTGGAAAGCCTGTGCCTTAGTGGGCAACCTTGGCAGCCATGGTTAAAGATCACGACGCTGCAAAGGAACAGTCTCACTTCGCAGTGGCCTACATTCGTACCTTCTTGACTTGCATAAAAATGTCCTTGTCCATTTTTACTTGTGGCAGAATCCCGCTTCCTGTAGTTCCCTAACCCTGAATTCATTGCTCTGAACCCGGTGTCACATATCACTCCTTGTACATTCCTTTCCCCACATGCAATCCTATACCTCCTTGAAGCTGGCATAGCAATCTCAAACTTCATTGGCCTCAAAAGCTGCATATGCACAATACCTTCATCTTTGTCATGGTTTCCGAGTTCCTTTAGCACCATAATCCATTCAATCTTCCATTTTAATACTAAACGATCTTGGGTTTGTCTCACGACTCCCCCCCCCCCTTCCTCTCTCTCTCTCTCTCTCTCTCTCTCTCTCTCTCTCTCTCTCTCTCTCTCTCTCTCTCTCTCTCTCTCTCTCTCTCTCTCTCTCTCTCTCTCTCACACACACACACACACACACACACACACACACACACACACAGCAATGACACAGACAAAACACACACCACTGACACATACTGACCTGGCTCGGTGTGCTTCAGAATGAAGTTCTCGTCCTCAAACTTGCCACCGTAGATAGATTTTCCTGCAGCAAGCAAAGCATGATAATGCATCAGAGACAGCCACACACCACAGCCAGGGATGTTTCTGCACAAAGGGACCAACACGATACTTATAGCAGCCGGGCATGCATGCAAATCCAGCAGGGAGTCAACATAGATTGGATTCAAACTCAGTTGTAACATAACGCAAGTAAGCAGCCAAGCAGAATAAAGGAAGTCCCCCCCCCCCCCTCCTTAGGTTGAATTCTGCAAATGCTTCAAAACTTAGTAGCGGTGCACCGGTGGCGAGGGCTTCAAAACTGTTCACAGAAAACATGGCCCCCGCCTTGTTTGAGAACAGTTTGATCCACTCAAACCTGCCAGTCCTGTTTGAGATCAGAGCTGGGTACATGTACACCTCAAAGCTACAACGAGCTACACTAGGAGAAGAGCTACACTAGGAGAAGAGTTGTTCATATCTGAGTAACAGTTACGAATGCACCTGCAGAACAAGAACAGGATTGTCCTGATCACGTGACCACGGTAACAGAACGCAATCCCCCCCCCCCCCCCGCGCACACGAGCATGAGCGTGTGTGACGCCAAGTGCCAGACATGGAGCAGAACAAACGGGATCACCACTTACCACCGGTCCCATCGTGATTCGTGAAGTCGCCACCTTGACACATCTATACCATGGGTGCAGTCAAGAAAGGCAACTGCCGGCATATGCACTTCACAGTACCAACGAACACAGACTTACACCACCACGAAACATATGTAGTCCTACTAGAGTGGTCTAGTTGCATGCAAGATCATGCCAACATGATTCATCCCACGTAGAGCGGTGCATATCCTTGGTAATGCAATACACACATGAAGCCTATTGAAAAGTCCATCAACTAGGTTTAGGCATACCGATAGGGAGGTCTTCAGCAGCAACACATACAGTACTGTCAGGCGCCGAAGAACGGAGCGCCGAAGAACGACCAGCCTAGAATTTCACCACGCACAGCATACCATGTATATACGGTGCCTCAACTGTACATAGACCGTAATACATGAAAATAAAAATGATCTAGGATCTAGGCTTCGGGGACCGACAGTACTGTACTAACACACACCATGAGACAACAGCATTGATGGTTGAGGATACAAATTGTGGGATAACGCGATGGAAAGTACAGCCCTTGTAGCCGAACCCTTTGTCCCCAGTGCACAGCACTCGGAAATTCTCTAGAAACACAAAAAAAGACAACAAAATCACATAATACATATCTTGAGACTCGGCTGCTAAGCACAATGCAAAACACCGCAGAAAACTGGCGAATTCTCTACTACAACCGTCACCAGTATATCAATTCTTGCCACAACGGCATCTCCTGCAAACCACTGCGTACGCGAAGCAATGCAGTATATCCATGATAGGTGTCCCATATCAGCAGGCAAGCAGGCCTGCCTGGAAAGGCTGGAAGGTACGGCTAAAGCTCAAGCTGATGTATTACCGTATTTCCCCGTACGTAAGTTCTCCCCAATGACTTAGTACCCCCCTATAAAAAATACACTTTCCACTGCAGAGGTTATCACCCCGAAAGACAGTTCCCCCGAAAGATAGTAAGTTCGTACCCGTCCTACATGTACAGACACCGTACAGTACATACATCATAGGCACGGACACTAGAGTTGCGCAGGCTTCCCACTGCGTGTCATTTGCCCCCGATAAAAAAAAGTACTGTAAAAGCCATATATATAACGAAGTGCTAACTCTAACGAGGAGAAATCTGTCGTTAAAATAGAAATCGTTATACAGAAATCGATACATAATACTGTCCTATTGAGCGTTGAGAATGAGTGAGAATCGTTACCTTTGGTACACGTAAACTAGTCAAATTTGGGAAATCGTTATATATGCGCCTCGTTCGAATAATGGCTTTTACAGTACTCCCCGAAAGATAGTACCACCCCCGAAAGTTAGTACTCATGTGGCTGCTAAGTTCGAAAGTTAGTACGTACTAACTTACGGGGAAATACGGTAATGATCTATCCTCCCCCACCGTTTAGGAGCTGCATCTGACGCCTGATCATGGGGTGGTGGCGTCCCACGAAAGCGGAAAGGTGGTTCTTGACCAGGGAGTTGTACGACTCCTTGTTCTTGACCTGCCCGGTACGCAAACCCGTCAATTTTTTTTGATGTATCAATTTCTAGCCACTGCCAAGATGACATTGTAGACATGAGGTAGAATGTCGGTGAGAACATCCACACTACATTCACTGTTTTAAAAGTGTTTCTGTTGGTATCCGTTATGGCTACTAGTAGTTGAAAGCCAAGCAATTGAGGGCAAATGCGGACTCTCAATGAACAAGTGCAAATAAATACATGCGGGATACGGAGGCTAAGCGAATGACATCACCGTATATAGTATGCTTTGTATGGAGTGGCAAAAGCAACGCTTCTGTTCCCAGGCCAGACAAACCATTCAAACGATGACATAGATGTAACGCTAGGTGCATAACCTCTACTTGTGCAGGAGAGAATGATGTTGGTGTCCATGGCTACACCAAAGTGAAAAGCAACATGTAACCGGCGAATCACCTACCTGCTGTCATGGGGACAACGTCATGCCGTAGCTAATATACACAGCACATACAAACAAGAACAGCAGACATTTACTTTAGTATCACTGGGGAGGGGGGGGGGGGGAAGCATCTGCTATTACATGTCTCAAGGTCCACCTCTGTAGAAGATTGCACCTTATGGGAGCAATGTACACAAAGGAACAAGCTCACAAACACGCACGTTCATACACACTTGTACCGTGTGCCAGGAACTAGTCATGTGGGTCTACCCGGTAGAGGGGAGAGAGGAAAAAGATTCATAAGGAATCCAAACGGCAACCACCGCCTCCCTGATTATGAGTCATAAGGTATCCATCTTGGAATCCACTAGCATTTACCCCAATTTCCAGTGAAGGTACTACACGCAAACATATACATACACAAAAACACACATACAGACACACACACACACACACACACACACACACACACACACACACACACACACACACACACACACACACACACACATTCTAAACGTAAAATATGAATGTACGCCAACACAGTATATATTTTTCGAACTTACCAAAATGGTGATACGACCAGCTGGTTTACCACCGATGGTGATGTCAAAGAACACCGATGAGTTGCCCTTTGGCTTGGATTTGGCGCCTTCCTCCTGCAGCATATCAACGTCACAGATGAGACCCAATATTCAGCAACACACAGCAGCTACGATTCTTGTGGATGTCACGATACGTGTGCATGTTGAGTTGGGCAGCATTTTCTTCGGGTATCGGGATCGGGTAGTTTTCCACGGGTAGCACGGGTACCCGGCCGGGTAATGTTTTTATGGTAACACCATAATGCACCCTTCCCTTACACACTGGGTAGACATGCAGAGTATTACATGAATTTGTACACGTGCACTGTACATGATGTCATCTCCAACTTCGGGTTTTCGGGTACTATTGTGTACCAGAGGTCCTCACGGGTAGCAAGGGTACCCAACTACCCGTGCACACCACTACATTGCAGTAATATATTATATTTATCGAGCCGGCTCGATAATATACTACAGCAGGTGCGATTGTTTCAAATCTCCCAAGTAAATTACTAAAGAATGGCAATTGGAACAACACAAAATTGAAAGACAAAGAAAGCAATTTACCTCAGTTGCGGTGGATGACTCGTCCACATTGCTTGGAGCGGAGAGAACCTCTTCACCAGTGCCACCACCTGAAGCAAAGCACCACAAGAGCAGTTACATTATGTACAAAACACCTGTGTTGAGCAAGCACTGCGATAGGAGACAACCTGTCATATGAGACCGGTGGTCAATTCAGGATTCAGGCTAGGCCATGCTGCTACGTACATTTGAACCTCTGCAATAAAAAAAACTGGTTTTCTGCGCACCATCACGGCATGGCGTGGTTGCTAAGCACAGGTGATTCTACTGTAGTAACATAGAGCCCTAGGGATGACCTGCGCCTTGCTATGGCATCATCAACACACATATCATTGAATCACCGAAGCTGGCAATACTTTACAGGGTACAAGACATTTTTTAAGAAGTGTGTACATGTATAGCAAATGCACTGGGAAAAGATTAACGGAAATCAGAGATGCACCAACAATGGTGAGGTGAATAAACACACGGCGCTCTGAGACACTTACCCGCATGCTGCTTTAGCCAACCTTCCTCAGACCACACTAGAGAGCAGGGAAACAACATATGCAAGAAAATACGTATTTCACGTGATACGTCATTCAAAGAAAGAAAACTATGTCCCCCACATGGGAAAGCCAAGAAAAATCCAACGTGGGAACATATGCAATACAAAAAACATTTATGTACCCATATACATGTACATGGTCACTGGAATCTATGATAGGAGGGGGGGGGGGGGGGGAATCCACATGTACCTTCCATGACAGGCATATTCATACACAGTTTTCAAACTTTTTGTCTGTGGAGTGATACCTCCTTATTCACTAGTGGATAAACTGAACAAATAGTTCAACTAGTGCGGATGCATCCTGACCTGGATTGATTGAGGCTGCTATCTGTCGTCTTCCTCTACTAAACAGGTGGCTGTTATATTTTGTTGCCGACATGTCCGTGGCTTGCAAAGTTTCAGCTTTGGGATGCTAAACGGATGGAGTTGGGTCATCCACTAACAAGGCAAACTATGCCTCGACACTTAGTGTGCCACCAGCTTCAACTTGAAGTGAATCTGTGGAATACCTCCTGACGGAAAAAGGATTCGATTGGATGGCATGATGGCGTGTGACTCGTACAGGTTATATTATTTGACAAAAACTCTCATCAAATAAATGTAACACTGAACGATGAGCAGTACCACCCCGGTTCAGAACCCGCACAGGCCGCCATGTAGCCGGCATGCCTCCGTTGAGCTCTCTCCCTCACCCTCAAGTACATGTATGTATGAGGTCATCCGTAATACACGCCTTTGTCAATACTACTGCTGTAGTGTCCTGGCATTCTAGTCTTCACTGGATTGAAAAGGGCAAAAGCATAAAATTCTAAAGAACCAGCGTAATCACAGCCAGACCACTTTCATTGACTCACCAGCCTTCATGGACCTCTCAGTGGCCTTCATTGGCTTGGCTAGGTTACATCGTATTGTACGGCCATGGATCTCAGCATTGTTCTATCAGTGCACAGACAATGGCAAAAATCCAGACACTAGGTAAGCACACATTGTATTTACAATGTTGCACAGCATGTGTCAGTACAATAGTGACGTATTGGTACAAAGTCATATGTCATTCCATGGCACAATCGTCGTCACTTGAAAACACCCTCGGATTCTCTAGGTCATCAGCTACGTGGCTGCATACTAGAGTAAAGGTCATTAGCTGAAGGACGACTTACCATGTTGTCGATTGCAGCCGCAGCATCCTCTGGCAGCTCATACTCAATGAACGCAAATCCCCTGTGTTTTTCTGAGGGCAAACCGGAATTTCAACATCAAGAAACGAACAAAATTATTCAGCAACGGTCAGATACATATGTGATAACATTACCACACGGCCAAACATGGGAGTCAGTAACATTTGAAAAATGGAAAACAGCAATATTGACAAGTGGCAGTGGCAGCAGCAGCAGCCTCTTCTAACCTGTTTCATAGTCTAGCGGGATGTTGATATCCACGACTTCGCCGAACGGAATGAAGGCAGCATGTAGCAGCTTTTCATCTACCTCCTCTGCCAAACCACCTGCCAGACACACAGTGAAGAAGCACAACACCAGGACTTTAGTCTGTCGTTCAAGTTGACCAAGCAAGATCTCACTAGACATGACCCATACTTGTAGTGGCAAATACATTGAACATCAACATGATTTTACTGCCTGCCAGCTCTTGCAGTGAAGGCTGTGGAGCATGGCACCAAACCCTACAGTCTCTTTGTAGATCTACGGAAAGCCTATGACTCGATTCCTCGTGCAGCTTTGTGGGTTGTGCCTCGGAAACTGGGGGTACCGCCAACTCTGCTTGGACTTATCCAGTCCCTGCATGGTGGCATGGTGGCTTGTGTTCGACTGTCGGGTACGCAAACCGAATCTGTCAGTGGCTGCAATGGACTTTCGCAGGGATATAAGATTCCACCTACACAGATGGCTCCTTGGACAAGGAGGTCACTGGCCAAAGTTCCCTGCGCGTTCTGTGGGCTGCCGTCTTCCAGTGCCGTAGACAATATCATTATGATACCAGTGATGCGAGACAAGCAACAACAGGTCTACTTCAAACTAAGGCAGAGAGAGAGAGAGAGAGAGAGAGAGAGAGAGAGAGAGAGAGAGAGAGTGTGTGTGTGTGTGTGAGAGAGAGAGAGATAGAGAGAGGGAGAGAGATTGATTGATACAGGGGTGGTGATACGTAGCTGTAATCATTCATCTTACAGAGTATGCGGTTAGGGTATGCGGTTAGGGTCGCGCTCATACTGTGGCCAAAACCACCGTCCATGCGGTCAAGCGGCCAAATTGCATGGCAATGGGATGCACGTGACCTAAACTTCGTGGTTACGTTTCAAACTGAGGCCACAGCCTCAAAAGGGGGTGCTATTGACGTCAAGTCCCTTGGACACGAAACTTATTTTCGAATGAAACCGGGCCTGAATTCAAGGTCCGTGACCATGGAGCGGAAATGTTGAACTACCCAGGCATATAGCAGTGGTGGAGGTTTGAGCTTTCGTCCCAGGCTTGTATGAAATAAGAGTGCTCAGTGCCTGTAAAAAACTCACTCAATTTGAACTTCATGTAATGCAAACATTTTTTTCTGAACGTCAAGAAATTCGAAATCGTAACACCTCTCTTCGGCGTTTTCGGACATACAACGTAGTGCGAGCACAACTATCACGTTTCTTCGTTATGCTGTCGCAGTGTGAGCACACCCTTAGGAGTGCACATTCGCCACCATGCCTCTACGAACTCCTGACTAGTTTGGTGAGAGTGTGTTTGCATGATCTTTACTGTAGTACAATCAGGCACTGCAGTGTAGTATTTGTGCAAGATTTTGACAAAATAGGTCCGCCATTTTACCATTAAAAGACATACAAATTTAGGTAGGTGGAAAAGGCCACAACCAAAGGTATCGTTATGTTTGCACAGTGCACACAGAAAAGAAATTTACTTCTGCCATGTTCAAAATGTTCACACTGCCAGGAGATGTTCTCTTCTTCACTTTCGCTCTTCGCTCATCACCATATTCAGGACAGGGTTTTTCGCTACTACGCTTACCACAGTTACGCACTACAGCACATAGTAATGCAATGTCTTACACAAATAGTATTACTTGTATTGCATGTAGGCACCGTTCAAATTACTGCAAAATAGGAAACTGATTTGCCTCAATTCAGCAAGATTTCACTACAAGTCCATGATCATTCCTGCCCTTCACTCGTGCCGCCATCATGGATTGTAGATGTATGACATTATCAAGACGTGAATCAGATGTAAAGATATCTTGCTCGTGATTGTAAACCAAAAATCACAAGAAGTACTTACCCACGTATACGATTCGTTTGGTATTCGACATAATTTTCACCAAACCATAGCGCGTCAAGGAAGACCTGAGACTCTACACAGCACCCGTATGGAACGGCAACAGCAATTGTCATCCACCTCTCGGCATCGGATACGGCAAAGTCACAAACCACACAAGTGTTTGATACGCAGCTTGAACGTTCACGAAGAAACATGAGAATTTTGAAATAAATTTTACACAGTCATGAACTAGCTGCCTTTCACTTCCTGCAAGCTAAAACCGTTCGGCGAAACCTGTTCAACGAACGACCATTCGTAGAACACCATTTGGGCGACCGTGCTAATGTTGTACTTCGAGTGCGGGGGGGGGGGGGGGTACTATCCACTACTGAGTAACTCCTTGGTAATTGGTATCCAGGGAGTTATGGGTATACAATTTAACTCCCCTGATATCCAGTGTCAAGGTCGTTATCAATATCTACATGGCTATAACAACTCCCTGGTCGCTATCGAGTCGGTCAACCCAAACGGCAAAACCAGCCGACGACATCGCCGTGCACTGCCACAGGAAATCAGTGCTAGCCACATCAGCCTGCCTATCAGGGGCCGTCACCAACGTCGCTGACTGGCTCAAGCATCGACATCTGCTTCTAAAATGACAAGAAGAGCCAGGTCCTGTCGATTGTACCACAACGCAATGCAGGTCAGCATGTCGCTGTCCGCTGCAACCAGACAGAGCTTCCCTCGAGTCCACCAGCAAGGTACCTCGGCGTGACCCTTGATGCCGCTGTGAGGTGGGACCCCCATGTTGACGCGATTGCGAAGAAAGTTGTGCAGAAGATTGGAGCACTGTGGCGGTCCCGCAGATGTCTCTGCCTCATTAGTCGCATCCAGTTTTTTTTATTTTATAAGATTGCATGCTTCACACTCTCATGTAATATTAATTTTCTTTCCTTTCTTCGTCTTTTTGTGAGAGCTTGGACAATCCACTTGTCCAGGCAAGAAGGCAGCAATGCCTGTTCATTCTGGCGAAGTAAAAATATACCAACCAACAACCAACCAGTATGTGAGGTCAGTCATCATGCCTGACCTCCTATACGTAGTATACGGGTCTAACGCCTTCTCTTCCTCCCTCAAGAACCGAGCGGCGAGAGTTGTATTATGGTTTGCCGCCTCACACCTCTGCCCAGCCTCTGCTCGAACGGATGTCCCTGTACAGAGTTCGCGAGTGTTACGCCCAGAAGCGGCTCGTCCTGGTGTGGCGCTGTGTCAATGGGAAAGCCAGCAGTGTCCTCCAGGAGGACCAGGACCTATTCTCACCATCAGCTGGTAGCACCACCCGGTTTCCATGGTTTCCAGGGGCCTCACTGTTCCCTCGGCACAGTCAGAAGCCGGCAGATCTCGCCTGGCCTTTCAGGCAGCCTTGGCCAGGAACGCACTCCCAAGGAGTGTACGGGAGATCAAGGCTGCCCAGCAATTTAAGCTTGCCTCCATCCCCTACACCTTGCAATGAATGCTCTGTCTGACTTTGCCCGTCCACGCACTACATCATTTACTCTTCTCTGCATGCTTGTGCACCTATGAACTCTTTGTGTTCCCTCTGTTGACGCTTCAAAATCGCCCTGTTGACGCTGCAAAATCGCTTATCAGACTAAATAACATAGCAATTAATTTTGTTCTTCGCTGCTACCCTCAACCACACGTTGATGCGCCCACCACCCTCCGATGCCCCTAACCTCACTGCTTCCCTCTCTGTGTCTCGCTATCTCTCTCCCCCTTTCTCTCGCTCCCTTCCTCTCTCTCTATCTATCTATCTACATCTATCTACATCTATCTCTATCTCTCTCTCTCTCTCTCTCTCTCTCTCTCTCTCTCTCTCTCTCTCTCTCTCTCTCTCTCTCTCTCTCTCTCTCTCTCTCTCTCTCTCTCTCTCGCTCTCCCCCGTAGCTCTCTCCCCTTTGAAATTCGCTTCCATAGAATTGGGCACCATTGCCCGTTTGGCCTTGCGAAGTAAAATAAAAATCAACAACAACAACAACGAGTAAGTAGTCATTAACCCCTAGGCTCTGCCCACCCAATTCTTCCTCACTCTTTCTCCTTCCTTTCACTATTATCTCAATATTGGCCACTGGATATCGTGAGAATAGAGATTTGAAACAACAACAACAACAACAACAACAACAACAACAACAACAACAACAACAACAACAACAACAACAACAACAACAACAACAACAACAACAACAACAACAACAACAACAACAACAACAACAACAACAACAACAACAACAACAACAACAACAACAACAACAACAACAACAAAAACAACGACGACAACAACAACAACAACAAACGAACGTTACGTTACGTAATCGTTTCATGAACATGTGATGGGCGTCCTGAAGTTAGTTCATCTCAAGATAAGACGAGAGCTACTGTAATCCCAGCCATCATCTTCTCGACTTGCGACTCCCCCATCGAAGTTTCGGTGGTTGAGCATGTCAATCTGGCCTATGGTCGCTTTGACTTTGGCTCTACAATAAATATTTGGCCTTCTTTTTCCTTCCGCGACTGGGTGTCTGTCATTCATGCCCAAGACCCGGATGCCAGCGTTACAATAGCCTGAGCCAAGCAGATTGAGAGTCTGAGACTGAGCATGACTGTATGAGCCTCCTGCATTGGGCCTCCATGTCCGCGGGTTAACCTCACGATAAGTACTTAGTTGAGGGTCGAGACCGGGTCCCATGGTTTGAGCAGGCCATGGATTCGCAAACTCTAGCGCAGCACAGAATTCACTCTGATCGAGGATGGGACAGACTGGGAAATACAATGTATGAATGAAGCGAACACAGCAAAAAGGTTCACAGCAATAGGACCACGTACAGATAATATTATACTATGAGACTGCCTGTTGAGTGTCAGACTACTTGTAACATACTATTATTTTAATTATGGGGGAAATAGGAGAAGGACAAAATGTTACGAGTTATGACTGTCCACCAACGAACCAGATCTTATCCAGTCAGCGAGTGCGACAAAATGGCACAAAACTGACAAGGAGTATTGAGACATTCGGCGACCTGACACCTACAATGTAGCTCCAACACTTCTCCAAGGCGCAAACCAACAAGTTAGTCAAGTTAGTCATAACTCGTAACATTTTGTCCTTCTCCTATATTATTTTATTAAACACAGACAGAAGAACGAGCAGTTGTTTTTTCGTAACTCTGAGTTTCCCGAACTGAATCAATTCTCAGACGAAAATAAATCTATATTTAACTCGGATGGTGAGCAAATTAAATTATTGTGAAAAGAAGAAGGAGAAAGGAAAAGGACAAAATGTTACGAGTTATGACAAACTGTCCACCAACGTACCCAGATCTTATACAGTCGGTAGGTGCGACAAAATGGCACAAAACTGAAAAGGAGTACTGAGACATTCGGCAACCTGACACCTTGTGTGGAACTACTTGTTATTGTACATAACTAGTCCATCATACATGATAGTGGAGTTCAGTAGGATGTTGGCGTTTCGGTTTGTCACAAATCGTCTTCGCTTAGCTTCCCCTTCTATGTTTATTACATAAACTTGAGCCTCCCAAGTTGGGTGGTCTGTTGCTTTGCGTTGTCGAGTTGTAGCAGGGCCGGTCTGTCCAATAGTCTTACTAGTTTCGTCATCATCCAGTAACTTTCGGCATTCTTTGTTGCCGTGATGCGTAGCTCGTGCTCTTCTTCGTTGCGCTTTCCTTCCCCTCTTCGACCTTTCCGAACCTGAGCCTTCCAAGTTGGAAGGTTGTTGGTTTGCGCCTTGGAGAAGTGTTGTAGCTAGGTGTCAGGTTGCCGAATGTCTCAGTACTCATTGTCAGTGTTGTGCCATTTTGTCGCACTCACTGACTGTATAAGATCTGGTTAAAACAGAACTCGGAGTAAAAACACTTTCTCTGTCCTCCTATTGTTTTAAGATCTGGTTACGTTGGTGGACAGTTTGTCATAACTCGTAACATTTTGTCCTTTTCCTTTCTTCTTCGTAACTATATTGGCTCACCATCAAGAAGAAGGACAAAATGTTACGAGTTATGACTACCGTAACTGTCCACCAACATAACCAGATCCTATACAGTCAGCGAGTGCGACAAAATGGCACAAAACTGACAAGGTCGCCGAATGTCTCGGTACTCCTTGTCAGTTTTGTGCCATTTTGTTGCACTCGCTGACTGTATAAGATCTGGTTACGTTGGTGGACAGTTAGTCATAACTCGTAACATTTTGTCCTTCTTCTTTTCACGAAAATAGATCTATCATTATTTTTTACGCAAGAGAGATTGGAAGCTGTGTCGCAACTCTGAGTTTCACGTATTACAATCATCAGGCAACGTAGATCTATGATTTTATAAAGTTCTACTACAGTAGTAGCTACTGCAGTCATCCTGCTCCCTCGAGCCAAAACACAGTTACTACTTTCATGAGAGATGAATTCAAACGTGGCGCTACGAGTCTACGACTGGTCTTTGGACCAGGGTGCCGCATTTTGGAGGAAAGGATCAGTTCCAAAGCAGTGCAATGGAAACTCGAAATTAATACGAATTAGCATGAGATCACGGGTTGTACATGTAGAAGTTATGTAAACTGTGTAAAGTATATTATGTAGCCTCCCACTTCTCCAGCGATTTGCACTCTCACTCCCCATACCTTACACCTCATTCCTCTCTTTCTAAACCCCATTTTTCACTGCACTGAAGTGTCGCTGAAGCCGAGACCTCAGGTCGGTGGAGATACTCCAGTTTCACCACCACAGTTGCGTCTGCAACCACCTCTATGCAGTATTCTGTTCTCGAGGTTAATGGTTTCTCGTAAATAAACAAAAAACGCTTCAACGCGGGAATGCTTATAATGATAACCCCCACTCCCCATCCCTCTCGCTCTTCAGCTGCTACACACGCAGGTTCGCTTTCATTACACTTGTAGGAATCAATCTCGATAGACCGGTTGCCTTTGGGGAATCCTTGAAATCAGTTTGACTATAATTATCCATTGTACAGATGCAGTGGATCTACATTGTACATCTAACAAGTAATAGCACTAAACGGTTTTAGTCCACCCTGGTTCTAACTACACTGATAAAGGCCGCACAGGTGAAGGCGGCTGAACGTTGACGGCGGTTCAGTGATGATTGGGCGCAAGCTGCAGGAGCCTGGAGATCCACTCTTGGAAATACACGTACCAGTAATGGC